TTTTGACGAAACTTGAAATATAGGTTTATCCCCAAAAGATCTCGGCTGCTTTCGATATTGGCATGTATCGGATCGAAACTTCATGGATTATGGCCCCTGATTGTACGAAAAATCACGTTTTTAGCTTGTGGACCCTATAGAGGTCACAATTTTTATCCGATTTTTTTAAAACTTGAAATATAAGTTTATAACCCAAAGATCTCAGTTCCTTTCGATATTCGCGCATATCGGACCGTAACTTCCTGAATTCCCACATAACAATATGATGTTAATTTTACGTTACATTTACGTAAAAATGGTCAGTCAGTTTACCATCATTTTGCTCATCTTTTTAACGATAATTTTACGTCAGGAAATGACGTTAATCTAACGTAAACTTTACGTCATTTTTACGTTATATTTACGTCATTTTCTGACGTAAATCTAACGTAAACTTTACGTCATTTTCTGACGTAAATCTAACGTAAAATTTGCGTAAAGTTTACGTCATTTTCGTTAGATTTACGTCAGAAAATGACGTAAACTTTACGTTAGATTTACGTCAGAAAATGATGTAAATATAACGTAAAAATGACGTAAACTTTACGCTAGATTAACGTCATTTCCTGACGTTAAATTGTCGTTAAAAGGATGAGCAAAATGATGGATATCTAACCGACCATTATAACGTAAATCTAACATTAAATTAACATCATTTACGGATGCAATTCTAATGTCAAATTTTGATGACCAAAGTTACGAAAATATAACAAACCATTAAAACCTTCAAAATTATTCATTATTTGCGGCAGTAAATGGGAAGTACATTCAATCAATAATCAAATTTTCCTGACCCGTGGGTGAGGCTAAAAGTTGAGTGGTCCAACGTGTGCGCTTTAGATCATAAGGTCTGTCATTGAGTCAAGTGGTTTGTTTCCACACCCAACTTGAACATGGGTTTTCTCTGGGTCCTCCTACTACTAAAGATTCCTGGTGCGGATGAATTATTCAACTTGAATTGAATCACTTAGTCCCAAAGGACAGTTTATGTCTATTGGATGTTTTACCCCATTGCTCTCTATCTACCCATAACCAGTCAGAATTCTAAATGTATTGCACAGAAAAGTTAAAAATCTAGCAGAATAATATGACAAAATATACTACAAGTATGTATACATATACTTTATTTAAAAGACAAAAATATAATGTTATAAAATACAAAATACACATTTAAATATTAACAGTTTTTATCCACAGCTGTTTGAGAAATGAAGACGGGCATATGCCACACAGTGTGCAGAGCTATGGCATACTCTTATATAAAATTCCAACTGCCAAGGGATCTTTCACACACACACACTTGAGTTTACACTGTACCTTGTTTTTTTGGTCCCTTCCGTATGACTAGTCAGCCATCCATGTCAGGTCCTCTGTCCGGCATCACTGACAAGGGAAAATGTTCAAGAAAAAGGTCTACATTAGCGCTATGAAAGTGCTGATATGCATATAAGAAAGAAAAAACTGGGATATTGACCAAATTGGGCCAAAACCTATAGCCTCTATCTTATTTGCTCAAGGTATTGATGGAATAGGAGTTAACTTTGGAATGAGTGAAATGAAATGGGGTTTAATGTCCTATTCCGACAGGGCTAATGACATGGAAATATGCTATACAGTGTCCTATTATGGAATTTTATCCAGACAGCGGCGCTAAAGCCTACTCTTATATCGAATTCAAACTGCCAAGGGATCTTTCACGTGCACACCAATGTGTGCACAGGACCTCGGTCATTCGTACCATCCAAACGACTAGAAAGCTGTCCCTCCTTGTCAGGCCCTCTGTCCTGCACCTCTGACAAGGGGAGGAAACCAAGTCTGGAAATCACGAAGAACTTTCTCGGCCGACACTGGAATGGAATGTTGTGGAATGCTGAATATTGATAGGTTTCGTCCTCTCATGATTCCAGTGTGTAACACAAATTTGAAAAAGATCATTTAAGAATAAACACAGCATCTATTGCATTTGAAAAAGGGAGAATTAACCAAGGAAGGCAAAGTCCTGAAAAGCTGTATATTGATAATGCTTGTCCTCTCACAATCGGAATGATTCACATTTCACACCCAGTGTACGGACAAACAGGGCCAAAATTGATATGTGGGTGTATAAACAAAGATATATACTACACCAATATTACATGTGTTGCAGAATTGGTTTAACACATTTCAAATATAATTGTAACACGGATATTTGCAATGGTTGATCCATGACAAAAGATTTGAAATATTTTGAAGAGACGCAAAAGGTTACGCCATACAGTGTGCTATAAGGGAAATTTTGCCCAGGCAGCAACGCTATGGCCTACTCTTGTATCGAATTCCAACTGCCAGGGGATCTTTTATGTGCATGCCAATGTGTACACTGGACCTTGGGTTTTTTTTTGTCCCATCCAAACGACTAGACAGCTGTCCTTGTCAGGCCCTCCATCCTGCATCACTGACAATGGGAAACCACACCGGAAAATCAGGATGAACTTTCTCGGCCAATGCAGGGATCGAACACCCGACCTCAAGGCTAGCGAGTCAGCGTCTTACCCACTTAGCCACATGATCCCCCCTTGGCCTATGTACATGTAGAGATGAATTTTGAGCTACCTTTATATATATATTTCTATTTTTAAAACCCGCGACAAGTATATTTATATCAAGGATGTAACCCTCTATCAGTTAACCCGTCACGGATTGGTTGCATTGGTGAACCGGTTCAAAATATTCGTTTCATATCATACCTGACCTTCAAATCCAGGAATTGTAGCCACAACGGGGATCACATTGGTTAAGTCGGTAAGACACTGGCTATCTAGTCTGGAGGTCGGGTGTTCGATCCCTGCATTGGCCTAGAAAGTTATTCCAGATTTTCCGGCATGGTTCTCCCTTGTCAGTGATGCAGGACAGAGGGCTAGACAAGACAGCTGTCTAGTCATTAAAATAGGACAAAAAAATGAGGTCCCATGTACACATTGGCGTGCACGTACAAGAGCCCTTGAAGTTAGAATTCGATATAAGAGAAGGCCGTAGTGCCACTGTCCGGGCAAAATTTCCCACATAGCACACTGTATGGCGTATGCCCATCTTCATTAGCCCAGTTCAGAGCAAAACAGTAGGACGTTAAACTTTCATTTCACTAGCCACAGCTCTGTTTTCTTTCACCAAAGGGGGGGGGGTGGATGGCTGAATGGTTAGCGTGCGCGCACTGTATCATAAAGTCTGTCATTGAGTCGACTGGCGTGGTTTCGAATCCCCAGTTGTACGTGGCAAGGAGTAGGGTCGCCTGTCCAAATTCATGGGTTTTCTCCGGGTCCTCCGGTTTCCTCCCACTCCTAAAGACCCCTACGCGCAAGCGAATTATGTAAATAAAAAATTAAACCATATGTTAGTCCCGAAATGACCTAGTTTGTGTCGAGTGGACGGTAAACCCCATTTCTCTCTCTCTCTCTCTTTCACCAAAGGGGGGGGATCAAGTGGCTAAGTGGGTAAGACGCTGGCTCGCTAGCCTGGAGATCGGGTGTTCGATCCCTGTAAGTTCATCCTGATTTTCCGGCGTGGTTTCCCTTGTCAGTGATGCAGGACGGAGGGACTGACAAGGACAGCTGTCTAGTCGTTATGGGACGAAAAACTGAGGTCCCGTGTAGACATTGGCGTGCACGTAAAAGATCCCTTGGCAGTTGGAATTCGATATAAGAGTAGGCCGTAGCCCCGCTGCCCAGGCAAAATTTCCCTCATAGCACACTGTATGGCATATGCTCGTCTTCATTAGCCCAGGTTAGGAGCAGAATAGTAGGACGTTAAACCCCATTTCATTTCATTTCATTTCTTTCACCAAAGACCACATAAATACTTCATTTAGCACTTGTCATTTGAAACAGTTATAGCCTATGTCTTGTCTGGAAGAGGGGGCATCATCACATTACCATACAGGGTATAAGTCGATGTTGAGTATAAGTCAAATTGCCAAATTTTACATTTTTCCGACCTACATCCATAATTAAGTAGAGGCGGTATATAAGACTAATGTTTTTCAACTCCACGAGTTTCGAGACTGTTATCCTAGTCTAATACCGTGCCGGTGTACGCCGAAGAAAAGTTGGGCCATATAAATAATGAGGGTCTGGGACAGTTGTCAATAACACTTGCATTTATAAACAAACATGAATCGTGATGACGAATTAGGATTCAATAAAAAAAAACAACATAGATATGGCCCATGAAGAGAGAAATTTTACAATAAAAAAAAATTAAGAGTGTTGGATATTGAACTGACAATGCAATCAAATGGACTTTCGGAAATGGCATTCTTATATAAATTTCATGGGCGTCAACATCTTGTTTTAGGACTAGTTACCTTCCTTAGACTTTGTTTATGATAATGTAAAAGACCGGATAATCTAGCCTATGACCGATTATTCTCAAATGTTGACAACGCAACCACACTAATATTCGTAGAATATAGAATATTTTTTTCTAGATGATAGAGACTAATAATATGCCAACATTGAAATGTGTGCATAAATATGGTATATACTTAACTACACCAATATTATACCTATGTCATAGAATTTGTTACAAACATTACAAATATAATCTTAATAGAGATCTTTGCTATGGTTGATCTATCAGTAAAAATTGGAAGATTTGTAAGGAACGCAAAAGGTTATTGTTTACTGGCTGCAGCAGGGAGCAATAACAGGAACACAGATGATTTTCAACTCACTGATACAACTCAGTTTAAACTTTAAGCCAAAGAGCTGTTATATAATACTGTGACAGGATATCTGCTCTAAACTAACTAGTCATCAAAGAATTGACTGTCAAAAGTTCAGACAGAAAGTATTTTAGGCCTACAATGCTTGTAAAGCTTTGGCCTACATTCTGATGATATTTGTGCTACCATAGATACATATATATTTATATCATTACGTTATGTGACAAGTAGTAGTGTTTGGCAAGTAGTAGTGTTGTCTAACTATCATTATAAAGCCCATATAAATCTTTTTAGAACTTCTTTGTCATTACTGCCACCAAGGGTGCTCAAATATACATGTAGGATCTGTAAAAAAAAAAAATAAATAAATAAAAAGCAACTTTATACTCCCCAAAAAAAACGTAATTGGGTTAAACGGCCTACTGTTCAGCTCCAACTGGGCTGACAGCCAACCTACTGTGGATCTGTAATGAAATGGGGTTCAACATCATACTGTTCTGCTCAAACTGGGCTAAAGAAGTTGGACAAATGCTTGAAAGTGTGCTGTGATGGAAATTTTGACTGGACCGTGTGTACAAAAGAGCTTGGTTTTTTGTCCTATCCGAACAACTGTACATTAGCCCTTACCAGCCCCTCTGTCTTGCACCAGTTAAAAGAGGAACCATGCCAGAAAATCCTGATGAACTTTCTTGGCCACCACAAGAAAAAATAAGCAGGGGAGTAGGACTGAAACCTTTATGTACAAGTATGTACGGGCAAACTTGTTATTTAATGTTATAGGCCTATGTATATAATTAGAGTCTTGATTATCCATTTTTCAATTAAATTAAATCATTAACATTAACCGCCAGTGTTTGAATCTGTGAACATCTCGAGTACCCGATGGCATTGAGACTTGATTATAGACTTAACAATGTCTTATAAAAAATTTTAACATTTACAGTCTCAAGAAATACCTACTTAACCTACGTACAATATATAGATTTAGCTCTTGCATTATGCATTATTAAATTTGCAAAAATATCAGTACAATAACAACAAAAAAACCCAACCTGAAACACCCATAAAAATGTTTAGAAAATACTACATGTACTTATATTATAATTAGCACAGCCTGAATTTTAACAGTCTACATCATTAATAAATTCGTTATGTGTTTGATAATTTTTGGATCCAGATTTTTTAAAAACAATTTTGGAACCAGTATTACTTTCGATAACTTAAAGCAATGTTGATTTTGTTTATGAATAGTATGGTTTACGGACAATGTAACTGCATCGTGTTAAAAACAAATACTGACTGTCTGATATACAAAGTTGCGTGCAAACTTTTTCCACGGCCAGATTATTTTTTTTATCAACATTAGATCTATCGGTATACTGTCAACGGAAGTTCGCATAAAAAGTGCACTTACCTTCAACTTTACTTTGCTGAATCCAAAATCGTGTGTGCAGTGTGGAATAGCTTTATTTAACTTTAAATCACGGCATCATTTCTTCTTTGGGAAAAATAATAATTACATTATGCCGCCATTTTAAATCCCAGAATTCCGTACGTTCCGGTCAAACGAACAAACAAAAAATATTTAATAAATAATTGAAGCAATTTAGATAAATAACAACAATAACCGTAACCTATAAAAAAAATATTGTAATGTGAATAGAAATAATATGATATAAACCGATTTAAACACAATCATCAACCGTGAACAGATCGTGACCTTGACCTTGCCCGAGTCGATAAAAATATATTTTTACATCTATGTAGTTCTAAAAATGGCGGCTGTTCGTTTGAAAGGCCTGTAATATTTCTGATAATGAATCTATTCATATAATTTGTTTGTATACGCTCTACCATATTTTATATGAGGTTACATAATTATGTTATATTAAAAGAATAATCAAATCGGGGAATTTTAATTTTCAGAGATAGGTCTTTTATCGAGAGACGATAAATATATGGACTTTTTTAGCTAGAGTAGATCTCTATGTTAATTGACTGGGTCATTAATATGTAACAGGCATTGCCTGAGTAGAGCGAAGCTGATTATTGTCAAATATAAAACCTTCATAATTAATTTTCTCAAGTGATACAAAAAATGTTAAATAATTTAGTTTTTCAAAATTGATTTTTATTTAGATCTAAATTTTATACATTAATTTTGTTTTTAAAAAAAAAGAACAAAAAAGTTTGAGAATTATTTTCATTGACGTAAAAAATATGTGACGTCATTGATTAGACGCATCATAGAAATAGTTCTATGAGGCGCGTAATCTTGCTTGGACGAGATTTGGTAAGTTGACATGCGCATTGCCTGTTTTCTCCAGTGTATCCGGTTTCGGTCTGAATTTTTTCTTAATCAACAGTCTGTGGGTAACATTTTCAATTACGCTCCTGTGTTACCGGAAAAGAGCTTTGCTCAAGCACCGCGCTTCGCGCGATGCTGTAGAGCTTCGCTCTATGTTATCTATTTTTCAGATTCATAACTTAAAAAAATGGAACTAGTCTTGGTCCAACCTTTATTTTTATATGGTTTTACAACTTATATAATTAAGTGTTGAACTTTTAAATTCGAAATAAAAAAACGGCACCAATCGACTCATGACCTATTTTATATATTAGGCGTTTTTGTGAGTCGATTAGATTAGGTTTTGATTTGCTAGTACGATTTGGTATGATTTCGATTTGATTAGCTATGGTCCACAAATGTGAAATTTGATAATTACGATTTGGTAAGATGGCTGCCACCACGGACACCGATCAGAAAAAAAATTGTCTCTGGTAACATGATGAGGGGGGCGTGTGTTTCACGTGTAGTCCAAGTTACCTACAGATTACAGTGACACTGCTGGCACCCAGAGGGCCTAAAATTGCTTAGAGCCAGAGGTGATCTAACATTCTTGTGGACTATAAAGTTAACATTAAAGGAGCTAAATCGCTAACATTTGGGACCTAGAAATTGACAAAAGTGGGTCGCAATGCATATAATACTGTAGTATGAATGTATATAAACTGATTTACATTCAATGGTTTCCGTTTTTACTCCAATTTCAAATCCGTTATGTTCGGCGAAATAAGCCAGCAGTCTCAAGCGAGTGCAAATTTCTAGCGTCTGGTTATTCCAGTTTACATACGCCGTTTGATTTGGTGCAATGTGTCTAGCCTCGTCCCTCGAGTCTCTTGATACAACTAGGGCTGAAGCGCATTATGGTACACGATTCGTGTACCAATGGTAAAATGTTTATTTTGTCTTAAATATTGGATATCAAAAGCCCATCTTTTCCCGTTAAGATCACAACATGAATGTTGATATAATTTGACAAATAAATCGTGTTTTCAATGTTGAAGATTTTGGATGATATTGAGTTAGAGACTTAGCTACTTTAAACACATCAAATGCGTTTTAAAAAAACATTTTTTATGGAGAAAAACAACAATAAGCATTAAAAATTACTTACGATGTCGAACATTCCGCCATTTTGAAAACGTCAAATCTAATCGCCTAAACACCTCCTGGGACGATTAGGTCGATTTGCCTAATCAGTTGAGTTAAATCGTCTCACAAATGTAACGATTAGCATAATCAACTTGGTTCACAAATGCGTATAATAGCTAATCGGTCTAATCTAATCGGTTCACAAAAACGCCTATTGTATATGTAGACAGCCGCCATTTTAAATGACATTAACAACACACATAGATTTAAGCTCTGAGTGAGCTAATGAAGACAGGCATACACTATATACAGTGTACTATGACGGAAACTTTGCACAGATAGCGGCACTATATGGCCTACTCTGATATTGAATTACAACTGTCGGAGTGTCTTTTACGTGCATGCCAATATGTACATGAGGACTTGATTTTTCGTATGACCCGAACAACTATACCTTATCCCTTGCCAGATCCTCCGCCCTGCCACAGTCCATAGAAAATTTCCGTCATAGCACTCTGCATTGCGTATGACTATCTTCAATAGTCCGACTGGTGCAGAAAAGTATGAAAATGAATTTTAAATGGGGTTTGAACATCCTACTATTTTATTCCAAGTGGGCTAATGAAGAAGGGCATATGCTATAATGGTTAAAATGTTGTGATTTCGGGTTAAAATGCCGTGATGTTGGGTTATCGCCTTACGAAGGGTGATATCAGTCACCATATCTACTGGGTTTCTTTAATACTCATATTTATAGTATTTTATAGAGTCAGACTAGTGGACTAGTGAATGCACGGATTAGTGCACCTATTGGTAATGACTATATGCGGAAATGCTGCTCTCCAGGCAAAATGTCTTTCCTAGCACATCTTCATTAGTAAGTGCGGTAATGCTGCTGTCCAGGCAAAATTTCTGTCATAGCACATCTTCATTACTAATTTTGATAAAGCCACGGTGGCTAAGTGCGTAAGATGCTGGCTCGATAATCCAGAGCACGTGTTCGATCCCTGTATTGGTGGAGAAAGTTCATCAGGATTTTCCGACATGGTTTCCCCTTGTCAGAGGTGCAGGAACAAGGACAGTAGTCTAGTCACTCAGATGGGACAAAAAACCGAGGTACCATGTATACATTGGCTTGCACGAAAAGATTCCTTGGCAGTTGGATTCGATATTAGTAGGCCATAGTGCCGCGGCAAAATTTCCCTCATAGCACATTGTATGGTATGTACCTGTCTTCATTAGCCCAGTCGGAGCAGAACAGTAGGACAATAAACCGATTTCATCAGGACAAATCTACATGAGGAAAAACCTACATTTCACAAACTTAGTAATTAGTAACGGGGGGGGGGGGGGTTGGATGGCTGAATGGTTAGCGTGCGGGCGCTGTATCATAAAGTCTATCATTGAGTTGACTGTCGTGGTTTCGAATCCCCGGTTGTACGTGACAAGGAGTAGGGTCGCTTGTCCAACCTCCTGTTTTCTCAACTGCTAAAGACCCCTACGCGCAAGCGAATTATGTAAATAAAAATTAAACTATATGTTAGTCCCGAAATGACCTAGTTTGTGTCGAGTAGACTTTAAACCCCATTTCTCTCTCTCTCTCTAGTAATTAGTAACACACTGGCTAGCAAATGAGGGGTTCAATTTCCGTGTTGGTCGAGAAAAATGAAATGAAATCGGGTTTAATGTCCTACTGTTCTGCTCCTAAACTGAGCTAATGAAGATGAGCATACGCCATACAGTATGCTATGAAGGAAATTTTGCCCAGGCAGCGGCGCTATGGCCTACTCTTATATCAAGTTCCAACTACCAAGGGATCTTTCATGTGCACTCCTGTGTGTACACGTGACCTCAGTTTTTCATCCCTGACTAGACAGCTGTTCTTGTCCGGCCCTCCGTCCTGTATCACTGACAAGGGGAAAACACGCAGGAAAATCTGGATGAACTTTCTCAGCCAATGCAGGGATCGAACACCCGACCTCCAGGCTAGCGAGTCAGCGTCTTACTCACTTAGCCAACGTGATCCCCATGTTGGTCGAGAAAGTTCCCTTTGTTAGTAGTGGTGTAGGACAGAGGACCTCAAAAAAACAGTGTCTAGTCCATCACGTGGGTGTGCACGTAAAAGAACCCTTGACATTTGGAATTTGAAATGAGAGTAGATCATTCATTCATTCGTTTTCTCTTTGTGTGTCACCTACAGTTCGCAACTATTAAAGGAGCTAGATCTCTATTCTTGGGCACTTAGAAATGAAATGAAATGAAATGAAATGGAGTTTAACGTCCTACTTTTCTGCTCCTAACCTGGGCTAATGAAGACAGGCATACGCCATACAGTGTGCTATGAGGGAAATTTTGCCCGGACAGCGGCACTAAGGCCTACTCTTATATCGAATTCCAACTGCCAAGGGATCTTTTACGTGCACGCCAATGTGTACACGGGACCTCGGTTTTTCGTCCCATCCGAACGACTAGACAGCTTTCCTTGTCAGCCCCTTTGTCCTGCATCACTGACAAGGGAGAACCACGCTGGAAAATCTGGATGAACTTTCTCGGCCAATGCAGGGATCGAACACCCGACCTCCAGGCTAGCGAGCTAGCGTCTTACCCACTTAGCCACGTGATCCCCCACTTAGAAATGGATATAAAATGTAATGAAATGAAATGGGGTTTAACGTCCAACTGTTCTGCTCCGAACTGGGCTAATGAAGATGGCCATACACCATACAGTGTGTTATGAGGGGAATTTTGCCCTGACAGTGGCACTACGGCCTACTCTTATATCGAATTCCAACTGTCAAGGGATCTTTTACATGCATGCCAATGTGTACACGGGACCTCGTTTTTTTTTTTTTATCCCATCTGAACAACTAGACAGCTGTCCTTGTCAGGCTCTTCGTCCTGCATCACTGACAAGGGGAAAAAACGCCGGAAATCTGGATGAACTTTCTCGGCCAATGCAGGGATCGAACACCCGACCTCCAGGCTAGCGAGCCAGGGTCTTACCCATTTTTGTCCCATTTTAATGACTAGACAGCTGTCTTGTCAGGCCCTTAATTGTTAGTATCATGACATTAAACTGACATTTGTTTTACGTTTTACGACTAATATCAGGTTTATGTTAGAAAACTAACGTTAGATTTATGTTAGAAAACTAACGTTAGATTTACTTCAGAAAATTATGGCCCCTGATTGTACGAAAAATCGCGTTTTTAGCTTTTGGACCCTATAGAGGTCATAATTTTTTATCCGATTTAAAAAACCGTATTATTATATCACCGTTACACCCTAAGGAAGGTTGAGTTCGAATTTCGTGGAAATCGGCCCAAAATTGACAGCAAAATGGCCACCGTTCGTTCTCAAATAGCGTAAAAATATTGTATATCAAGGTTGTGGACCCTATAGAGGTCACAATTTTTATCCGATTTTGTTGAAAATTGAAATGTAAGTTTATAACTCAAAGATCTCGGTTCCTTTCGATATTCGCGCATATCGGACTGTAACTTCCTGAATTATGGCCCCTGATTTTACGAAAAATCACGTTTTTAGCTTGTGGACCCTATAGAGGTCATAATTTTTATCCGATTTAAAAAACCGTATTAGTATATCACCGTTACACCCTAAGGAAGATTGAGTTTGAATTTCGTGAAAATCGGCCCAAAATTGACAGACAAAATGGCTGCCGTT